GCATGAGATGAAAAATAAATTTGAATTCATACATCATTAACATTTGCATCAACATCATGCATACACACCCATAATAAAAATGGAAAATAATTTGTCAATTTTAAGATGGTTCAGGGTTTCTAAAATCATTTATCCACGAGGAAAGAGTCAAGTCTTTAAGTATTTGACAAGATCCAAAGTTGAGCTCATCCCTATCAGCAAATTTCGAGAAGAAGATGGGCGATGTTGAAAGAAAGTTGACCGGATTCGATGAAAATCTATCTGGGTTCAATCAAAAGCTAGACGGTGTCGACGAAGTGAAAAATCAACTAAATTTGCTGATAGGGATGATGTCATCAAAGAAGAAAGAGGTAGCAACCAATGACAAAGAAATGTCACTTTACGATGACGATAATGGCAAGCCACCCAATGGGAATAGTTTGGGCAACAAATTTATCATTATACCCGAGAAGTTTGATAAAGACAACATTGGATCATCAAAACTTGATGACTCGCAAGGGAGACGGAATTTAAAAGAAACTGTGATTAATGCCATATCAAAAGAAAAACTTGAATGACTAGATGAACGAATAAGAACTATAGAAGGAACGGAGTCATACGGGCCCACAGATGCATCGCAATTATGTTTGGTCCTAGATGTGATAATACCTCACAAATTCAAAATGCCAGAATTCGAGAAGTACGAAGGTACTACTTGCCCCAGAAGCCACTTGATTATGTATTGCAACAAGATGGTCAACCATGTCCGTGATGAAAAATTGACGATACACTGCTTCCAGAATAGCTTACATGGTTCAGCTCTAAGGTGGTACGTGCAACTCGAAAGATCAAAGGTGAAGAAATGGCAAGATCTGGCTGATGCATTCATAAGACACTACAAGCATAACCAAGATTTAGCTCTAGATAGGGAGGACTTGCATAATATGTAAAAAACAGGAGAAAGAATCTTTCCATGAATACGCCCAGAGGTGGCGTACAAAAGCTGTAGATGTTCAACCTCCTCTATGAGAGAAAAAAAATGGTGTCAATCTTCCTCGACACACTAAAGCCTCCCTACTACAATAACATGGTAGGAATTACTACGACTAACTTTGTTGATCTGTTAATAATCGGTTCAAGGATAGAAAAAGAAATCAGGCAAGACAAGATGGAAATACCTGAAGGCTCCGCGAGACTAAGCGAGAACAAGAGAAAGGAAGAAGAGGTATATTCATCCCACAAAGAAGCAAAAGGGTAAACACGAAGAAGCAATTTTCAAAAGAATCAAGCCCCAATATTGCAACTTCTGGACCTCATGAAATCAATGATCCAAAATCAAGCACCAGTACCACGTCAAGGTGTTAATCGAGATGCTACTATCCCAAGGAAAGCAAAAAGGGTATTTGACCCTATCTCGGTCACGTATACAAAACTTTTTTCTCGATTACTCCACGATCGTCTAATCACTCCTATTCCGGGCGAGACTTTGCAATCTCCATTTCCAAGGTGGTATAGGTTTGACAAGCATTGCGTTTACCATTCCGGACTCCAAGGGCATTCAGTGGAAAATTGCAACGCTCTGAAGATAAGGGTTCAAGACATGGTGAACGCCGGATGGTTGAAGTTTGAATAGGAGGAGATCGTTTAAACGTCAACAACAACCCGATGCAGACTCATGGAAGTCAATAAGCATAACCTCAAATAAATGTCAAGATAGTTCGCCACGATAAAAATGTATCACCCTTTGCTTTAGCATAAGAAATAAAAAGCTCTTCACGTTTTACCTTCTCGGAGCATTTTGTGATCATTCCAAGTGATAAAAGTCTATTTCACGGATTTTTACCTAAATTTTCTAAAACAAATCATAAATCAATTTCATGTGTTCAAGTTAAGCCATGGGATTATCATACCAAACAATTATGAACACCCTACTGGTGTTGAGAGATTAAGAACACCCTACTGGTGTTAGAAATTTTGAACACCCCACTCTTGATGAGAGTACAAAAAGACAGCTTATGTTGAGAGTATAAACACCCCACTGGTGTTTGTAAATTGTGCGAGATGATAGTCAAGGGATGTAGCGCGGATACGACATCAGGATATTTTAAGAATCTTGTCACATTTAGCCGAATCCCGTCACCAAAATAGTGTTTGAAAAACTATCCAATTAGCCCAGCCATCAAGAGAGACACTCATGTTGTCGGCCATCAAGACAACGTCATAACCTTTTTGTGCTCGTGCCCATAAACACAAATATCAGTTGAAGAATTAGCGAAACACATAGGGGGCATAACAAAGTCAAGCAAGTCCCACAAACGTGAAATTTTCAAAAGGGAAACAACAACAACAACAAAAAAAAACATTGTGGGACTTACAACTAGATGCCCCTTTGTATGTTATCTAAATTCATAACCACTCGCAAAATGTCAAGATATCTGCGAACCAATATCCAGGAAAAAACAAGGAAAAAGCTCAAGCAAAAGTTTATGTGATAAGAAAACCCATGTAGTCACCACTACTACACAAAAGAACTCCCTAGCATACCATTCTAGGAGGAAGCAAGAATTCATTTGCTTCCTACTCGTTCTTACCTCTCAAAATAAAAATTCCAAGAGAAGGGGGCAATACAAGCTATGGATACCCTCTCTGAAAATTGCCAATATATCCAAGAAAAAGAATGAATTCCCCGATGAGAGAACCTACAAACCTTATACGAATCCCATATTTCCATCAATTAGCCACATATGTTGAGAGAAAGCCAAAAACTCCATGACAAATGTCTTCATATGAACAACCTCTCTCAAAGGTCTTCCTCGTATCTTGTCTTAACCATGCATTACAAGAAAATGGGATTCCAGAACAAGAAGATCCTCACGATCGAAGTGAAAATCAACCAACAACCTCATTTCATGAAAAATCATATACCTCCATGACAAGACCATATGAAGATCATCCAAATCAATCACACAAAGCTCCCGTGTTGAGAAAAACCTTAACCTCAAGCCCATCTGACCGTCAACGAAGATGGAGTCATCTCTAGTGACAGGAATCTTAATAGTATCCGAAGTGTCGTAAACTTAAACATACATAGGAATGAGTGAAAGCAAAAAAGAGGTTAATGACAAGAGTGAGAGATCATGGATATTCTCATGGCTTGATTTGCACTCTTCTTGTCGAAACAAAATCAATTTTGAGTATTATGAAAACAAAATTTGTGGCAAAAGTCACATAAGAAAATGTATTTGCTCAATTTTCACACACTTCATTAAACAAGAGCTTCACACTCTAAAAAATGAGTTTTCACTATGCTATTTCAACAAGGTTCTTTTCAAACGTTGTTGCATTCATCCAAAGTCGAGGATGATAGAATCGCTCTTTGTTCCGGAAAGTGGAAAATGAATAACATATCTTTGGAGGGCAAAACGGGGGCAACTTAGAGGAAAGTTCAAGGTACTAAGTAGCTAGACTGCTCAACTTGTCAACTCCCCTATTTATGAAGAAATTTTGGAGAATTTGAAGACACTCAAGTTCCATGGGACAAGCTGGTCAACTAAACTATTCTCCAATGACATACTTACAAGAAGAAGTACAATATACTCTGTCACTAAGCAATACACAACTCCATAGAAGCCCGTGCGACCTACCTGGGGCAACAAGAAGGAATAGAATGCCATCTCAAGACTCCCTGTATCTCATATTGAATCAATCAAAAGAATAATTCAAAGAGCCAACGTTAAGAAGATATACCCCAGGATGATAGATCTTTCTTTACCAAGCAAAGTATCACTTACATCGCTAGAAATGCCACCACTGGCAAGGCCCCTGGTCGAGCAGATTATTCCAAACCCTAAACCTAAGAGGTTGGGTATCCCAGACATCATGCATCAAAGCAATAAAGTACCCAATATCCCTACCCCTGCACCACAGAGGTGGATACTCAAAAGCTCGCACTATCGAGTTTCGAGCTCAACTAAGGATCAAGTCTTTCAAAGTCGATGACAGAATTCCTTGTGGATGATCGATTTAATGAAGCCCAAAACCAACAAAAAATAATGTATTTTTGCATGACATTCATGACATCATCATTCAACATGACATATCATACAATCATATCAAAACAAGACATGTCCATCTTTACTTTAGACATGCATTAAAGGTTTTAATTAGGCAAAAACAACACATCGCATCTTTTGACTTATTAAAGTATACAAAGAGCCAAAAAAAATATATCACATCTAATTTCACACTAGAAAACCATAAGTTCCCGCGTTGGCGAATGCTATATAAGCCGTCTCCGCGTTGGCGAACGCTATATAAACACGTCCCCGCGTTGGCGAATGCTATATAAACACGTCTTTGCGTTGGCGAACTCCATATAAACACGTCACCGCGTTGGCGAACGCTATATAAAACGTCCCCGCGTTGGCGAACGGTATATAAAAACGCCCTCGCGTTGGCGAACGCTATTTATAAACGTAATTACCCGCGGTGACGAACGCTATATAAGAACGTAATCACCCGCGTTAGAAACGCTATGCAATAACGTAAATACTAGGGTTGGCGAACGCTATAGAAAAACGTGACCTCATCTCAATCAGCATTCGCAATACAATCACAAACAACTATCAATAGTTCTCACAACAATCAAGCATAACTTTTTGGGATATGATACAATCATCAACAGAGTGTACAAAATATGGTGTCTTTATAAGATTTTTGTATAACTCTTTATACAAAGAGATATACTAAGGGGGGCAACTATAGACACCATATTTGATCTGGTCTTACATCTATCACGAGAACATCAAACTGCACTTCCACTTGAGAAGTGTGGCACAATAAACTTGGTTCATGAAACCAAATTGAGGAGCAACATGGGTCATGGTTAGCGATTCATGTTAGAGAATTATTCAAAGTTCTATTGTAAAAGCTAAAGGAATATCAACGAAGAATTGAAAGATCGAGACAATCATCAAACATCATTACAAAAGAGTTTCAATTTACATATACAATCCTCAGCTAATCTCATCTACAATTTCGACTTTCAAGGAAGGATGGCAGATTTTGCAGAACCAGCCTCAAGGGAAGCCAATTACACAATGACACGTGGTTTGTTCATTTTGCTATAATAGAGCTCTTTGGGCTATTTGTTGAGGGGATGGGAAAAAAAGAGGAGAAGATACAAACTTTTTTCCTTTCCTCTTTTAGATAGTGAGCGGTTGGAACGATAGGAGCAGGAAGAAAGTCATTGTAAATCGAGAACCATACCAAGTTGGCTTTGTAACGCACTACTCTTTTCATAATAAGATTTTGCTTTGCGCTCCAATTCCTTTGGTTTCAGTTTCGTCTCTAGCATCAATCTGTTTACTCATTTCCATGTAAGTGGTTTATGCTTGAGCATTTGTTATTACTATCTTCCAACTGCCTTATGAGCCTACTATTATTATCATTCGAATATGTAAACTATTCGTATTGATTATGCACTATACACTATATGGTCGGATTTCATTTAAATTTAGTTACTCGCTTCCCGTCTATAGTGATTGATCGCTTTTCATCTAGATCTCCTATTCGTATATACCTCCCGTTTTGCTAAGAAACACAATTAATACATGACACCATATAAACAAAAAAGAAATTCAGATTTAAGATCCACAACAACATCCATAGTCGATTTAAATCATAAGCAGTGGTCGTGATTCATGATCCATAGTTTAGCCGTAATCAAAAGTAGTGGTCGTGATTACTATCGTCAAAATAGCAATTTAGAGTATGTTAATTATGTTTTCATTAAAAACCATTTTTCTAGCAATTTATAGCATATAAAGTGCCATAGATAAACTTACCAAAACACCTATTTTTCATATAGCCTAGCAGACGTTTTCAAAAAAAACTCAGATTTTTATACCTATTTCCAATCATTCTCCATTTCTATTTTAGGTTCCCTAATCTTCCAAATCAACCAAGATATATTCTTTTTTTAGTTCAATCCCCTAGATCTTTGTTCTTCCAAAACCTGTAACCGAACCACAAAAGAAAAAAAAATAGATTGGAATCCACAAGAAATTAACCAGAAAAATCAATACACCAAAACCGAACAAAATTACCCTGTCTTCTCCCTTCATCGCCAGAGGCTCTCGCCGACGGCAAATCCTCATCCTCCTTCGTCTCCACCCACCTTATCCCCTGTCCAAAACCCATAAAAATATGAGAAATCCTTGTCTCCCAGAAAATCGAACAAAAATCTACATGCAAACAAAAATCTCACCTAGATCTCATCGTCATTGACGGAGTAACTCCATCGCTGGCGTCTTCTGTCGATTTTCTTATTTTCTGGACCAAACCGAAATCCTCAGATCAAACATAAAAAAAGAAGTCAGAATCCCCATTGAAAACCAAAAAAAAAAAATCTAGAATATAGGAATCAGACGCCATGCATGTTGATTTTACCTTCAACGGAAGAGAAAATTTTCGATTTAGGGTCACCACGTTCGAATTCTTAGACCGGTGACGTGAGAAAAGAGTGGCGGCGACGACGGGCGAGAGAGGAGAAGTAGATCGGAAGAGGGTAGGGTCCCTTGACTACCCTTGGTTTGTCTTTCTCGGTAGAAGAAAGAAGAACGAGGTTAGAGGGGAGTTTGATTTCGTTTTGGGATTTTGATTGTTGAGACGAGGAGGAAGAAGGGAGGGAGGCGTTGTTGGACAGAGGGCGGCGCTTTGGTGACTAGGGTTTCGGTATATGGTGGAGACGAGAGAGTGAGAGGAGAAGAAGAGAGACGAGAGAGTTAAGGCTCGAGGGCGGCGCTTTGATTCGCTTAGGGGTTTTGTTTGGGTCTCTGTTGGGAAAAGGAGCAGAGGAAAAATGAGAGAGGAGAGAAGACGGTGTTTGCGGCGGCCGTTCTGGCCTTAGGGTTAGGTTAGAGATGATTATATACCCCCATTTTTGAAACGACGATTTTACCCTTAGGGTTTCGCCTATATTACAGCCCGCTGCCACTGCGTCTTTGTACATTTATGATAATGCCCCTCTCGCGTCTGAAAACAATGGAGGTGGATCTGGGTGTCGAATTCGACACCTCGAGGGCTCGAGGGCGGCGCTTTGATTCGCTTAGGGTTTTTTTTGGGGTCTCTGTTGGGAAAAGGAGCAGAGGAAAAATGAGAGAGGAGAGAAGAGGGTGTTAGCGACGGCCGTTCTGGCCTTAGGGTTTGGTTAGAGATGATTATATACCTCCATTTTCTAAACGAAGATTTTACCCTTAAGGTTTCGCATATATTATAGCCCGCTGCCACGGCGTCTTTGTACATTTACCATAATGCCCCTCTCATGTCTGAAAAAAATGGAGGTGGATCTGGGTGTTGAACTCGACACCTCATAATCAATTGGTACTTGATACAAACAGCTAGACCAGTTGGTCAACGCTCAAATTGTATGCACATTAACCTGTTCTACCTATTTTAACTGGTTTCCTTATAGCACTTCGTAATACGAAACTATATACGCGAAAGCATTTCCGAGTTGGATTAATTCCATTATCTCTAAAACGTTAAATACTTTATTTATAATTAAAATTCTTAAATTTTCTTTCTGATGCGATATCAACTAGCACGATATTTAATTCCCGTGGTCCAAAAATGAAGATTCAGATTGTACGATATAAGGATCAATTGGGATCGTTCTTGATGGATAAACTCACCCAATATCTTGGAGCTGGCCACGTGGGGATTAATTGCATGGCTGGGACGTGTTTCATTACTTGGAATTGGATGGCTCATCATTAATTATTCTGGGAAGAAGTTTGGTGGAGTGGCAATTATCAAATTAAGAATTACATGGTGGGTTATTCACGTGAAGCATTAGCATGGAATAATGGTTGGTTGTTTAATGCAAAAGGAATCCAATTCCGTCCCAGAAATGGAAAAGGAATGGACGCGCAGCGACTCGAAAGATTCAGCACGTGACAGTTGGAGTTTTATTGTTTTAGTTGTCTATGAGTTTAATTAATAGTTTGAGTCCTTATTTAAGTAGAATAATGTTTCCTAGTTTGGAATTTGTTTTCCTATTTTTTTTAGGTTAGTTTTATGTTTTTGAGACCTCTATAAATAGAGGGTGTAAGACCTATGAATTTGGTACCCAACATTCAAGTTATCAATTAAGAGTTTTTACTCGTGTTCCTTTGTGAACATTTGTGCAAGCTTCTGTCGAGAGTCTCCAGAGGTTTCACGTGTCTCTTATCAACTAGAGAACGCGTCTAGTTGTGGCGAGCTTCTACCCTATATCAATTGCCCCTTTCCACGAGTTGGTGCTGTCCGATTGGTTTCATATACCAATTGCCCTTCATCACGGTTGGGATTGTCCGATTGATTCCGCATTATCTTTTATTTTTCGAGTTCAAGAAAGGAGACATTAGAAAATCATAAAAAGATCGTTGAAGCTGCGTACTTTGGTCATATAATCCGAGTTCGAGGGTTCTCTTCGGATTTGGATCATATCACTTTCTAGCCCATCGTAACCTATTGTAAAATTCTTAATACGAGGATCATGTTTAGTGGAACGTGACAACAAGGAAAATTACTGTCAAAACTATCAAAGTTAAAATAGTTCGTTATTACGAGAGAAAAAAAACACGATCAGCAGAACGTGATAAAAAGAGTTATATTTAAAATTCTCAAAGTTTTAGCGAACTATGTGGACTTTGATCCCGTATTACGGGTACATAGGCAACCGATAAGGTTCGAGTCCAATTAACCAATTAACTTTATCTTTTAATCTTTACGCCAGTGGGCGTATAATTAAAATACAATCAATACGATTTAATTTCTTTAGTGGTCCAGTAATGCCCTAAAAATATCTAAAATATCCAATCATGAACTAAACGTCCAATGACGTATTAGTTAAGTCATAAGTAACATATTAATAATCCAGTGGGATTTTAAAATACACAATAAATTACCAAAATAACACCCAACATACATAAAACTTGTCAACTTAAGTAGTACCGATTTAGGGCATTGTGGGGTGTGATTTCACTTCCCCACACGTAACCGCAGACCATATCTCGGTTCTGACCCTAAGGTTAGAGCCGATTCGAAGAGTGTTCGATCCACTCCAAGTAAGATCGATGGCGACTCCCAAAAAGCGAACGCGACGACCCCCAACCCCCGGAGGGACGGTTGCGACAATCATCATAGGTTATACTCGATCACATGCAACAATTCAAGATCAATGCCAATAAACACGAGATTTCCCATAAAGCGACCACTTTGATCATGCAAACATTGCTTTGAGCCCTCAAATTTTTCAAATTTGGGCATACATCAAGGCTCCAAGCAAGAATCACAATCACACAAGCATAATAGTAAACTACCCACACTTAAGCTCAACATTGCCCTCAATGGCGTTAGATATGGGTAGAATGATGTTACCGCTTGGGCTTGGTGAGTGAAAGTTGGAATCGATTCCGGGGTAGGATATTTGGAGCTTCAAGGAGAGACAAAAACACACAAATAAACACAATACGACTCGCTCGAGGTGAGGTTATTACAAACACAACACGATAGTAGTAGATTATAGTCACACACACACAAAAGAAAGAAAAATAACAAAAACAATTTCAGAGTTACAAGTGGAGAAGTGGGGCGAAAGAAATTGGCTCTGCCACATATCTCACTCGTCGTCTACCTCTCACAGGTGGAAGAAGGCCCTGACGTTGAGTCATCAACTCGAGGAGGTTTTTCTGTCGTTTTAGGCGGGAACTCACTCCCACGAAGCTCGTCTCTAGGCGATCCACCCTCTAGACTAGGGGATCACCTTCTGCTTCTACTGGTGGTGGATGGGCGCTGGAGCGCGGGACGCCGGCGGCTGCCGGGTGCTCGAGCAGGTGGCTGCTCTGCTGGTGGGACCTCTGCAGGAGAACTCAATCCGTCGATGTACCGAATTGGTCCAAAGGTGCGCAATAAGCGCATGGAGTACAAGGTGCCCTCATCAAACCTCTGGGTGCGCCCTTCTCTCGAGCACCCTGCAAGGATGACATTGAAGTGTTGAGCAAGGCGGGTGATGTAGGGACCCATCGATGTGACATAAGAATAGTTTCACCCATAGGCCATGGAAAAAGAAGTGGCTATGACTGAACCAAGGTGCAGAGTGCTAGACAGGTCCACCATGCAAGAACAAGCCAATAAGATTCTCTCGGTTATCTTGTTCGGGTTGTGGTAATCCGGGTAGAGGGAACGAGCCAGGAGTGCAACGATGACTCGCCACTGGGGTTGGAGTGTAGATGCCAATGTGAGGCCGACCTAAACTTTGACGTTCGGGACTTTGGAAGGTAAAACTTAAGAAATGCGGCATTCACATCGCAACTTCGGATGGCGTCTTCCTCCCAATCGTCCTCATGTTTGGCTTCCACTCCTAGGGCTCTAGCTAACCCGTCGTAGATCAAATTGCGACATTACCCTCCCAATTGGAACTCGACCTTGCGTATTGTATGGCCGAGTAGGAATTGGGTTCTGAGTATGGTGAAGGTGCTGAAAAACTCGATGTATAGTTCCCCGTAAATTTCATCTTCGAGATCAAGGAGTTGGCGCCATTGTGGGTGCACCACTGCCTCCCTCATAACATCACCACAATGAAGCATGTCGAACTATGCGAAGTCGAGTTTCCAATGGTTACCGACGTTCGAAGATGCCCAAAAACACATCTCTTTTTCCATTTCAGGGCGGCCCCTTAGCGTCACAAGGTATGGGTGGTTCATGTTAACCATCCTACACAAATCAGCAAACAAGCAACATACGTGGAAACAATCATCAAATATTGCTCATTGGGAGAAAAAGAGATTCCCCCACACTTATATTTCCACCATGGATATCAAACATTTAAGCTCAAGCACGTCGTGGCATGGTTGTGGTTATTTCACGATTTATTCACACAAAATTCTGAACCACAACCCAAACCACGGTGGCTACCATCCACCAATCATGCATAAAGCCCTACATGCATTCACTAAATAGCACTTGGTGGGCAAATTCTAAAAATAAAGACAATGCGATTCAAACACGCCCACCAAGGCTCAACTAGGCTCATGCAATAACGTTCCACCATTCAATCAACCTAATTCACCCAATTCCTCGTCCTAATTCTAGGTTCAACATTCAAAGCATCAAAATCATCCTCACTTCCCTACCTAATCCAATTCTCGCAAAATTAACAAGGTAGAGTTGAAAAACCAACCTGGAGACGCAAGTAGGACGTAGGAGGAAGTGTGGTGCGGGCGAGGAAAGCAAAAAAAGGCCGAGAAAAGGCCGGAAAGGGGTGGGCGGAGACTCGCCGTCGGCGACTTGACCGGAAAAAACTTGCCCGAAATCTCCCCAAAATCGCAGCACAGGTCAGTTTTTATGAGGGTAGGATAGGTATGAAGTTTGTTTTGGGTTTTTCTAGCCGGAAAGGGGTGAAAATTTGAAAAACCCTCGAAATTTCGCGGTTTTCCGGCGAGAATTTCAATTTTCCGGCGAGTTTTGGGTCGTGAAGTGAAGATTAGCCGTTCAACGCCCCTTTTATAGGCGAAGCACGGAGTTCACAGACGCGTTGGCTTGTTCACGTTCCTTAGAGACCGTGAACACTCAAATCCGTCCGTGAACTGAGGTTGGTCAATAGGTGGTGAACATGCAGAAGCGCCCAGTTGACAGACTTGTTTGCCTATTCACGGTCTTGTAAGCCGTGAACTCCGCAATCTGTCCATGAACTTCAGTGAAAACAGGGCACTTCTGAGAAAAATTTGACTCAACCTATTCCACCATGCCTCTTAATAGATCACAACACAACCTTAAAACGCAAAACCACACAACTTGGCACGGGGATACCACTTGACCACTTGAACTCTTCACTTGACACAAAAACGAAAATA